TATATTTCCTCTCCGCAAATTATCACATATTTCACACAAAACTTTAATTTGATCGGGAGTAGCTTCTTTCAATATTGCTTTTCGCTGAGAAGGAGTAGTCTTGGACAAAAGTGCTAACATATGATAATTTTTCTTTACGTTCTTCATTTTATTGGTAAGTATATCCAAAAAATACCTTGTTCGTCGGGAAAACACGAATCTCTCACAGAAAATTTCTTATTCGTTTTAGGATGAAAATCTAATAACAAATAACCAAATTCCTTCTCTGTTGCTTTTTTATATGCATCCATAAAAAAATCGCATTTACCAGCAAAAGCTTGTCGCCCCAAACAACTTACTTGACTTTCATCGCGATTATTTTTAAATAATATCAAATAATGAGTGTTTAAAGTTATATCTCTCATAATTCTATTTTTTGGAAACAAATTTTGCATTATAATTATCACGCTTACATTATAATGATGAGACTCTGTTGTAAACAAAGATGCAGTTTTTGAACTGAGTTCATGCATCAAATCATCAATTATTATTAAATCCCATCCTTGCACGGATTCAGGTAAACCATACATGAATGTAATATCTCTTTCCTCATGAAAAAATGGTAAATATATGGAATAACACCATAGAACCTTTTTTAATGTCTTTTCATAAATTTTGTTATGAATAATTTTTCTCACTAGTGTAGTCTTTCCACATTGTGAAGGTCCAACAATTATACAGTTACTAGGATGTTTGAAATACATACTCGTATTAATCGAACTTATAAGCTTTAGTAAATTTATAATGCTTTGTTCCGCAAATTATCTTTCTAAATATTAATATATTCTTTTTGTTCTTTTCTATATAAACTTCATTGATAACGTCTAAACATTCCTCGAACGAATGATATAATTTATTACTAACTTCATTAATTCTTCCATCCTCGTCGAAAATTATAAAACCAAATTTTCCATCTCCTTTCCATATATCATCGTTAACTTTAAAATAATATAAAACAATAGGGAAATTATCAGGAATATCGAAAGAAAAATTATTTACCGCAGCAATACATGTATCCAAAGACTTATACAAACGAGGAGAATCAGAATACTATCGCCGTGGTAAGTAATAATAANAGGCACAGCCTTCTCACTGAAATTGTAGTTTTTTTATTGTAGTGTAGGACCTACAAACACTTGTCTTTTTCTTTTACCCGCGACCCCCCGTGTATGGCTTTGCAATCCACCTGGGGGTTGCGACCCACAGGTTGAAAAACACTGATCTAGAGTTAGGTCTAACCCAAACTTTTGGTCTAAGGCAAACTTTTGCTTTTTCAACTCATGATCTTCTATATTTTTAGGTTTAGCTCCTCTTTTTTTACCAACAGTCTGTTTCACGTTAAAATCATAATCACACTCTAAAATTAATACAGTAGAGCGTCGTTTATCCGAAACGTCGGTTATCCGAAATAATTCCAGTTGGCAAATTTAAATTTTCGCCAATGTTGTGGCTGCAATCTTTGGCTATGTCTTGGGCTACTAACATTGTTTACGTTTTTGATAACAAATCAACTTCTAAAGTATAACTTTTTATTGTTTTTATATTTTTCAATAAATTTATTTTGTTTCTACAAAATAAAGAAATAATTTTTAACGATACTATAGCCACAATTATTATTTGAAAAAGTTTACGTTAGGCTTAACATCGACGAAAATTCAACGCAAAGCGACATGCAACGGAGAAAAATTTCAGGGTGGGATAGGTTAATATATTTTTTCGTATATAATCGGTTATCCAAAAAATAAGTTATCCGAGCAACCCCAGTCCCCAATTGATTCGGATAAACGACACTCTACTGTATTATATTTATTGAAATATTTTAAATAAAAATATTAAAAAATAAAATAAAATACTTACCATCTGAAGACATTTTTCTTAGATGTATGAGAGGTTCTTGCAAAAGAAGTTCTCAGTGATGTATTGAGCCAGTCTCTTATATGCAGTATTTATACTATTGCTGGACACGAAAATAACACATAACACGGATGCGAATTAATATTTTTAGACAGTTTCTTGAAAAACAGGATCTCCATTAATAATTTTAGAATAACACGATGTCTATTAATATTCTTGAACTATACTTTGAATAACAGGAAGTTTAAATATGAATTGAAAATTGACATAACACGATGTTTAAAAATGAATTAAAAACANATTTAAAAACTCTTTTATTCGAAGCACGGGGTGAAACTCCCGACGATTGCGTGGAAAATTACTCGAACGATGGCACGATCGGGCAAAACTGCTCCCGGAAGAATGGTTATTTTTGCGAAAAGGAAGCCAAGAAAATCGGTAAGTCGTCCCGGCAGAAAATTCGGCAAAGTACGTTAATCTAAGAATAATTGTTATCTTTCGAGCAGAGATAAAAGCCGCGATAAAACCCGGCCACAAAGTACTGGCTTCTTTCAAACAATACGCCAATTTGATCTTCTCCATGGACGTGGAGGTGAGGATCGACGGAAAGAAGTACGATTACTGGGAATTAACGGACGTCGTCTGGTGGAAGAACGATTATCCCGCTTTGTACGGAAACACTACTTACCGCCCTTATTATCGCGTAGGGAGCATTCTGTCCATCGCCACCCATTATTATTATTCGTTTAAATTACCCGGTAATCCTTACGTCGTATTTTCCGACAATGCGGACATTTCGGCTTCGGGTAAGTGCCTGGTTTCCTATACGACGGAAGCTTCCTTTATCGTAAATTATGCTTAATTAATAAATTTCTTAAATATTTATTGATTCAAAATAAAGTTAAAGGTAAAATTTCTTCCACATTTTCCTGAAAACGAAAGTACTATACCGTATATATAATTTCCGAGAAAGGAACCGGGAGAATTGCCTGTTTATCTCTTCTACTCGACAATTATTTTCTGTATTATGTAATGTCTTTATTATTTTTACACCGAAAGTCGATAACGCGAAAAGATAGTTTAAAATAGTCATAATTAGCTAAAGACGGCGAAACTTGGATGGCAATAAGCAAAATTTTATAACATATGGATTTGGGGCCCGCTAATACCGATATCTCCGGCCAATCGGTGACCGTATCCTCGATTATAACACGCTGATTCTATCGTAATTGTATATCGTTCCCAATAAGACAGTAAAAAGAATGACGTGGCGTTATTACAAGGTACCACTGTAGCGTTATTAAAATCTCGTTACCACCATTTTTCGAACATAACGATTGTCGAGCTTAAAATTTTGCGAAAGTTCGAACAGAAATAAATATTAAAAAAATAATGTTAAAATATTCAAGTCTTTTCGTTATATAAGTATGATGTATGCTATAATCCAGTTCTGTCAGTAAGATACGATACAAGAATCGATGATACCGTACGAACTGTACCGGGGGTGGACGAATCTCGTCGCAATAGGAGCCACTGTTTATCGGAAATTCTCCGGTACAAAAGACGGACAGAAAAGTAAATAATTTCTTAAATACGATAAGGGTTTAAACACATTTGGTCTTTTGCACCAGTTATACTACGTTCGCACACAATCCACGACTCACTTCGTTATCGATTTACGTACAATCTGGATTGTGACTGTCGCTCGTCGAACGTCGTGCTGTTCGCACAGGCAGTACGCTCGAAAAAAACCTGGCTATTACACGCAATCATAAAACTGACGTAACTACGCGGTAAGTCACAAACACCAACAAAGAAAATGGAAGTTTTGGTTAGAAATAAATACTTTTTCTTGCCATACATCTAATAATAGACAGATTTCGTCGTCTCTCCAAATGTCTTTTTTATTTCTCTGTCGATAGCCCGACACGTGTTCAGCAGCCATTTTGTATTTTTTCGCGCGCGTGGGATTGTGGAATCTCTCTTATGACTGGATCTATTTTCAAAAACTCTCTCCAGTCGATGGCGATAAAACCTCGTTTCAGTCGAGATTGAAACGGTCGAGAGCGTTCGCACCACGGAACTCTCTCCGACCTTAGTCACAATCTAGATCGAAATGCTCTGTGCGAACGGGGTATTACAGCGAAGCGACAGCTTGGAAAATAGCCCTTTTGGTTATTCTGGGAGGAATTTCACCTTACCGTAAACTTAATTCAATTGTTTCGAAAAAGTTCCTTCAAAACAAGAAGTTTTCCACTTAAATTAAAATTTCTTCATTCGTTTTATTTTCTTTTTTTAACACAAATGATGTCGTAGTTTATCTTACTTTTTCACATAATTTTCGTTTTTAGAACTCTCCACCTACCTTTTAACCCTGACGATTCCACGCATCTATTCAAACGAAAGCGTACAAGACGAAATAAGAATGATATATAAAGAATTGGATTCGAATAAAAACGTAACTTCCATGATTGGAGTCTTTAAGATAAAAAATAAGATTCGTAGAACCGGCTGGAGACTGACAGACCTGGCGTAAGTTTCTGACAAGTAAACTTTTCCTCCGATTCGAGTTAACTAATTCTCTTCACTGGTTTATAGCAAGAAGGACGATAAAATCGTGGTACACATCGTGCTCCTTTTCTCGTATTTAAAAAACAAAAAGGAAAGCCTTTTTCTTCCGTTGCAGAAATTCATAAATAATTCCGTCACTAAATATTTCCAAAAGTGGAAAGTAGACAGTTTCAAACTGACATATCCGGGTAAGGATCGACTTATTTGTTGACAAAAATTAGTTTACGCAGTTACGGTCAATTTAATTTTTCCTTTCAGGTCGATGCTTGAGAGAAGAACGTCGATTCAATAATACGAATTTCACCTGGAACGACACTTATTATTCTCAATCGGCGGTATCTTCTCCTCCCTGTTTAACCGGTAAGTATCAATAGTTTCCCGTTAAATTCTCCTGTGGAGTTTCACCACATTTCTTTCTATTTAGAAAAGTGGGAACTGGTGACCAGGAAGTGCCGAGGAGAATATGCCAAAGAATCGAAATGGGAGGACTTCGACTACTCCAAATGCCTTCGGTCTAACCAGTTTTCAGGTAGAAGCGTTAAACCGGGACGTGCTAGGTTCCCACCCAATGATCTGACCGTGATTTATCTTTAGCCAATCCGCCCCCTCGCTGATGCGCGCCGGGATACGCCGCCTGGAATTTTAGCCTGTGTCTGCGACAATACCGAGAGGAATTAAACTGGTCGGATGCGGTCGAAGAATGCGGCAAAAACGGCGGTTACTTATTTTCTCTCAGCATCGACGCTAGTAATCAAGTGGAGGATTTCGACTTCTTCTCCGAACCGGGTGAATATAAATTGCGGGAATTCGTCCACACAAAAATTGTAAAGTTTCGTGGGAAAAACTAAACTGGTGTCATTTTCTCAGAAAGGCGAGAGGAAGTGTGGCTGGGAGGACGCCGAAATGCCGGCCAGTTTCAGTGGATGGCGTTTTATCCCGAAACCATAAACGCGTAAGATTTGCCAATTATCGCTTTAATTATATTGGTAAGTTCTAATTTTCCCACGCCTTAACAGAAGCGGCGCCACGAAATTTCGTTGGGAGAAAGGACAACCCGCGCCGGGCAACGACTGTCTGAGCGGAGTAATTGGCCGGCAAGAAATTCTTCTGTACAGCCGACGGTGCCGGGAGAAACGGCCTTTCTGGTGCATGCATAAAGCGTTCGATGAAGAACAGTTACGTAAGTAGAGCCAAATAATTACATTTAAATATAATGGCGGAAAATAGCCCGACGTAATTTAACAATGTGCCGTAGCCTCTAATTGTCCCAACGGTTGGAAAAGCTTGCCTTGGCTGCGGAAGTGTTACCAGCAGACGGAAAAAAAAATGAATTGGAGGCGATGGCGAGAGTATTGCGAAAAACAAGGAGGAAGATTGGCCACCCTCGAGCTCCCCGAAGTCAATACCTTGGTTAAAAGTTATATATTGGAACATAACGGTACAAGTAAGTAGCCACATCCGGTAATTAACGCCTCCGGATTTTTGGTAACGACGCGCGCTTTCTCCAAGATTCCGGCTGGTGGATCGGACTTCGAAGATCGGACGAAGGATTCATTTGGGAGGACGAAGGCGAAACCGTTCGGTACGTGAATTGGGCGGCGGATACGGATTTCGCACCGAATTACACGGCCGGATTAATGAAGGTCGAAGGTTCCGGCGTTTCCTGGTCTCTGGACAATCCAGAAGAAAATCACTTTGGCATCTGCCAATCGACGGTCGAAGGTAAAGGTATGACCGCGAGAGAAATCGCGTCGTTCAATTATTTAAATTTAAAAACGTAACTTTTGTAGATTCAAGAGTTTCCTGCGAAATAATCGTTGTTTCCGAAGGTGTATTCAAATGCCTTTGTAGTAAAAGTTATTACAAAAGTGTCACGTGGTATAAAGATGGCGTTATCGTCAACGGAACGAGAGGATTGACGACCGGCGGCGAAGAATATTTAACCGTACGAAATTTACTTTCTACAAATACGAGCTTAGACCGGGGTCGACTCCAGGGCTATTATTGGTGCCTGGTGGATCAGAAGCGACCTTTCGTCTCCGTCGCTTCGCCCCGGATACTTTTCACCTTCAAAGGTAAGAAGATTAAAGTTTCTCTCTTATATAGTTGTCAATAAAGACGATTAATTAAATACGCTTTAGACGTGTGGACGTTCGTCGGTGAGTTCGATTCTTCTATGGACTTTCTTCGATTAGATCCGAGCACGAAGGAATATTTTAGTCGATGTCGGAACATCGGCGAAAAGATCGAAAAAGCTTTAACTTCCGTCGGACAGACTGTCGTACACGTACATCGACTATCGGAGACAAAGTGAGTGTGTATTTATATATAGGCTACCTATATTGCCTAACGGTTGTAACCATTGATTTCGGCCTCGGTTGCAGGGATAAAATAAAAGTAAACTTTTTCATCTACACACGTTCTTCGAGTAAGAAGAGAGAAACAAAAATGGACGAAAGTAAAGAGAAGTTATTAAACGAACTGCAGAACCGAATGACCCGTAGTTCCGGTTTATTATCGGAATTGAAAATATCGCCGGAAAGTATTCGAATAAAAATTACAGGTAGGTCCTTTAGTAATTGACGGCATTTGACTTTTACGCGAACGTAATCTTATATCGAAAGCCTCCAAATAACAAATGATTTAATTCGGAATTGATAATGAACCGTAAATTTTGTTTTCCAGTCGGATGCCTTTCGACGATAACGGAGGTGAGCGACAGAAACGTGACTTGGCCTAGAAAAAATTTCGGTGAAATCGCTTTACCCCTAGAAGACTGCGTGACCGGTAAAGCTTACGTTTACGCTCTCGTACTCGTTGTAGCGCTACTAAATGCTATTATTTTTTGATAATTAGACAGAGGCGATCCCGTGGTTAGAAGGTGTTTGGGAAATTTCACTTACGGCGCTTATTGGGGTCCCGTGGACGGAAAATGCCGGGGAGAACTCTCCGACCTCACTCTACGATTGAAAGAATTATCTACGGTAAGTAAGCGCTGCCAATTCTTATTTCTTTTTAAATACAATAAATTAAAGAATTTTTTATACAATAAATAATTGTAAATATCCAATTTTACTCGAAATAAAAAAAAAATATTTTTTTTTAAGTGGAGAGAACTCTCGTGACAATTCAACCTGCCGAGTTCCTTTTCTCCCGTTCTCCCGCAAAGTGGGAACCCATCCCTCCCACTCCAGTTTTCTTCTGTGAATCCCCTCCCGCTCGCTCGGTTCACCGGTTCAAAAATTTCTCGAGGATCACCGATTCTCGATGGCGTAAAGATTTCGAATTAAGTATTTTATGCGTATAGAATAATAATTTTGATAAATTAAAAATTTACACTTACAAATCCATCTTTAAATTGGATATACGAGGACGGAGTTAGAGCAAACTCCAATTAAGCTACAGTTGATTAAGCCTCTTACCGCTTTGTTTTATTTGTTGGTTTTTGTTGACAAAGGCATACTTGGCCACAGTGTCTTTTTGAAAAAAAAGAAAATATTACAATGGAATAAAAATAAAAATTATTTCTCCGTGTGGTTATAAATACAAATATATAGCCTAAGGGTAAACGTATATAATTGGATAATTATTATCGATTTTCTTTACTAAAATATTATTTAGTTTCTTAAAATTTTAGAGCGATGAAGTAAACGTTACCAAAGAGTTAAGTAATTTAGTAAACGAGTGGCCTCGAATTCGAGCAATCGACATTCACTACGTGGCTACTTGCTTGGAGAAAGTTTCCACCAAACCAAATTTCCAAGTAAGAACTTGTGTTATTTTTCTGTCTTCGTGTCCGCCACATTTTATTACAGATGTATCGTTCCAGAATCCACAAGAATCGTTCGAAGAAATCGCCTCGACCATCGACAATTTAATGAAGACGGATTCATCCGTTTTGGCCTCGGCAAATACGAAAACCAACGCTTCTTCCAGGTAAGGTCTTTGACAAAACAATTGTCTTTAAAAGACAAAAGGTGTCGACAACAGATTAATCTCGATATCCAGAATTACAGCTTCGCTGGAGAGTATGCTAGAGGCCAATAACGTTTTCATAAATATAAGTAACGAAAACATAATTATTGCGTCTCACCCGCTGACCTCGGAAAATGTGGAAGTCGGAATATTGCTACCCCTGGATACAAACCGGATAAAGATTTTATACGAGGATACATTATTAAATGACGAATATAGAGTAAGAATACGTCTCCCTCGGGACGTGTCGAAAGAGAAAGCTTCGTCTAACGCCACTTTTAATTACGTCGTATACCAGAACGATGCCATGTTCTTCACCCACCGCACCGATCGAGCCGTAGTCAGTAACGTTCTGTACGCCCGCCCGACGGGAGCTCCCGTTCGTTTGCCTGCCAAAAGAATAGAAATCGCATTTCGAGTGTTCACGGTAAACTTCCGAAGGGAAAATATCCCGCATAATATAATATATATCTATATAACGCGGAAGACGAACCCTTATAATGTTCTCGTCGGCTCTCAGGTTCCCGGCCAAATACCCCACAGTTCGAGGTGCGTTTTTTGGGATTATTCTGCCAACCGTAAAATGGGAGATTGGTCCGATCTGGGTTGCGAAATAACAAACCGAACCGCCCGTCGAGTGGTATGTCATTGCGATCACATGACTAACTTCGCCGTTTTGGTGGTACGTAATGGATTTATTTGTATTTTTAAAATGTATTTCCAAATATTACGACGACTGAAAATTCTGCAATTTCAATTGGTGTAGAATTTACATCCGGATTACGTGGAGCGAAAGATACACGCCGTAGTCTTGGATATTTTCACCTACGTGGGGTGCGCGCTTTCCATAATGGGGCTCGTATTAACACTAAGCAGTTTCGTGATGTTCAAGTAAGTTAAAGTTTGCCAATCGATTTAGTAGGCTATAAATGAGATTTGGAAATTTACTAGGATAGCAAAACTTTACTTAGGACATTATGGCACGAGATTAGAAAAATAACGAACTTTACCGGCTTTATACATAACGGGGGAAAGTATGGCGATACGTAACTTTTACGGGGGGAATTAGTTAAAACATTCTCATCGCCGGGGAAAAATGTGGGCGTTGCGAGGATAACAGCTATAAGACAGGCGGATAAAATGTTATTAAAAGAATAAAATTACATTTTACCGATTTACAGTGATCATTTACGGTTGTTAGTTCGAAAAACTATAATCTAATTCCGAAAATATGTTTAGAAAACTGAGCAAAGGAGTGGTGAGCAAGGTTCTGTGCAATTTGGCATCGGCCATATTGTTAAGTCTGATCGTTTTCGTTTCGGGAATCGATCAAATCTCGTCCAAGAGGGGGTGTATATTTGCGGCCGCTCTCTTGCATTATTCGTTGATGGCCTCGTTCTGTTGGATGTTGATAGAGGCCTTGCAGCAATATCTGAAACTAGTCAAGGTGCTGGATACTTACATCCCCAAATTTATGCTCAAAGCATCCGTTTTTGCCTGGGGTGAGTCTTCAACTAATTATTTTTTTAATTAAAATGCGTATTGGCGCCTCTTACAGCTATACATATTCTCCTAGGAACTCCTTTACTCATTGTGGCTGTAATAATGTCCGTCGATTATAAATTGTACCACGGAGGAAAAAATTAGTAAGTGGTAATTTATTAGGA